TATTTCGTGAGCTCCCACATGGAGTGGCCAGGCTGGATGCGAGCTTCGCTCGCATCCACCAACCTGCGAGGTGTTAGAGAGTGTGAGAAAAAGAGAAAGAGTGCAGCTCCTGGACTAGGTTCGTCAAGTCAGCACAACTGGAGATCAACGCATTGTTAAGCTTCCTCAAAAACGGCTCAACATCAACCTGAACTCTGTCCCAACCCATGGCGACAGCGCTGGTGTCGTCTTGTCTGCTTATGGCATCAGATGTTCTGGTCAGATCGCACATACTGGAAATGGGGATGTATTCGGTGATAGGCCATCATTGCCCAGAAAGCGTTGGCCCTTGCCATAACCCTTCTGGAGCGCGCACCGGCCGCTCTGGTTGTCGATGTACACTGTCAGGAAGCTAGGCAGACGCCAGCGCATGAAAGTCACTGCGATCAGCACTGCCAAAACTTCAAGCACGTAGATGTATGCTTTTCTAGTGGTGAACTGCGAAACAAACCAGTTGGGGATAGTTCCAAAACCAAACCAACACCCTGTATGAAGCACAAACCCCCAACCGTTGCTCGAAGCCCGTGTCCTTTGCGGGGACCAATTTTTTGGAATGTGATCAGCACCGACTTTGAAACAGGAGCTGCCCAAAACAAAGAAAGCATCCGTGTAAAGCACTGCGCGCTGAGAGTCACTATCCACAAACGGTATCTCGCGTGGTCTGGCATCGCGCAAGATGACAAGCAGTGTGACCATGCTTGGCGCAGGCCATGAGTGAGCTTGTCGTTCACCTTTTCTCCCAGTCCGGCCTCTTGCGTAGAGAGGAAGTAGCGCTGCTCGTCCGACAGCACCGAACAGGGTTGTGGTCAGGAATGCCATTTTACCTGCCAGCTGCTGTGCATCATGCGGAGTGAGGAGGTTCTTGTCCAGCGCAGATTGCAGGGCGCACTCAACCTTGCATCTTCGGTCAGGGCAAGCAGCAACTTCTATGTGAGTGGCTGTGATGGAGAGGACAACTCCCAGGACTTGTTGAGAAGCTGCTGGAAGCTGTTCCTTAGATGGCTTCATGTCCAGACCAAGTGCACTGAAAAGGTCTTTGAAGGCCTGACATCCTGCGAGGGCCACATCAGGAAGATCGATTCCGGTGAAATCATGACCTAGAGGCAGCATCAAGAGTCGTCGAGACAAGGCGACCAACGCATCAGCAAAACGGTTGGAAGCCCAGACTGCTGCAGCTGCTCCAAAGGGCGCCGCTGTGTGGCGCAAGGGTCACCCCGGTGTCGACAACCAACAAAGTGTAACAGTATGCATCTGGCCTGACCGGTAGCTGGCGATAGGCCGCATCTAGGTCTTGCCCCCAGATCAGAGGGGTGCCTGAGTCATACCTTTTGAGCCTCTGAAGCAGTCGAACATAAAGATCCAGGTCATGGTGATGAGGA